ACTGGTGGGTAAAGCCCAGGAGGTTGTGTCATCTCTTTCATTAGAAGAGAGTTTGAAGTATGAAATGCTCAAGGAGGCAATTTTGCGTGCCTATGAGCTCGTGCCTGAGGCATACCGACAAAAGTTCAGGAACCATAAAAAGACTAGTGAACAAACTTTTGTGGAGTTTGCTAGAGAGAAAGGGGTACTGTTTGATAAATGGTGTGCTGCCAGTGAAGTAAAGGATCATTTTGAGTCCCTTCGACAATTAATACTGGTAGAAGACTTCAAGGGCACTTTACCAGAGAAGGTGGTAGTATTCTTAAATGAACAGAAGGTGACGTCTGTGTCAAAAGCGGCAGTCCTAGCCGATGAGTTTGTCCTCACGCATAAGCATGTGTTTGTGTCTTCCTTCCGCTCGGACAGAGAGGCACCGCTACGTCCTATGGGGCAGAGTATTGGCCGTCCACCATTTGACAAGTTTAAGGGACCGCCGTCTCCACCTCGTAGTGATCGGGAGTGCTTTTATTGTCATAAGAAAGGACATGTCATTTCGGATTGTTTTTCTCTGAAGCGTAGACAACAGGTCTCGCCTGGCCCACAAAAGCCAAAAGGCATGGGTCTGATTAAAGGGGTGTCACCACCAGAAGCTGGAATGTCACAACCTGAAGAGGATGGACCTGATGACTGTTTCAAACCCTTTATGTCTGAAGGCTTGGTCTCCTTTACTGGGAACCCTGAAGAACAGCGGCCAGTACGGATGCTAAGGGACACAGGAGCATCCCAGTCTATTATTCGCGAGGGCATCTTACCATGGTCGTCAATATCCTCATGTCGCTCAAGTGTAGTGATTCAAGGTGTTGGAATGAGCTACATACCAGCCCCTCTCCATAGAATTAATGTTCTGTCCCACCTGGTAAATGGGTTCTTTAGAGTGGCTGTATTGCCAGCATTGCCCATTAAAGGGGTAGACTTCATCCTGGGAAACGACCTAGCTGGTGGCAGAGTTGTACCAGTCCCTGAATTGGTAGACAGCCCCGATTTGCATTTGGGGTCTGACAACATGGCAGAGATACATCCTGGCACATTTCCAGCTTGCGTGGCTACCAGAGCCCACACAAAGAGATATGGCATTGATTTGTCTGACACTTTTCTGGTCACAGAACCGGTTCCTGATGCTGTTGTGAGCGAGGTTCAGCCTGCTGATGATACTGGGTCTGCCCTCACCAGTCGCGAGGGGGTTGAACTGCCAGCCACCAGGGACGATTACATTGCAGCCCAAAGAGCAGATGTCACCCTGGTGAAATGTTATTCATCTGTTCTTAGCCAAGAAGAAGCCAAGAGAAAGCAAATGGCCTACTTTCTCGATAATGGCCTGTTGATGCGTCGCTGGACTAGGGGAGGTTCAGAAGAGATGGATTGGAGTGAGACTTACCAGGTCGTGGTACCTACATCCCATCGTTTTCAGGTACTGTCCTTGGCCCATGATCACCCATGGTCAGGTCACCTGGGGATCACCAAAACCTACGATAGAGTCCTCAGACATTTCTTTTGGCCAGGACTTAAAACTGATGTTGTTAACTATTGTCGTACTTGTCATGTGTGTCAAGTCGTTGGAAAACCGAACCAAGTGATTCCTCCCGCTCCCCTCTGCCCTATTCCAGTAATGGGTGAGCCGTTTGAGAGAATTATTGTCGATTGTGTCGGGCCATTGCCAAAAACTAAGACTGGAAATCAGTTTTTACTAACCGTAATGTGTGCTTCCACTAGGTTCCCGAGGCCATCCCACTACAAAGGATAACTACCCCAATAATCACAAAGGCTCTGGTAAAATTCTTTTCATTGTTTGGTCTGCCAAAAGTAGTTCAAACCGATCAAGGCACCAACTTCATGTCAAAAGCCTTTGCCCAAGCACTCAGAACGTTAAACATTAAACATGTGACGTCTAGTCCCTACCATCCAGAAAGCCAAGGGGCACTGGAAAGATTTCACCAGACGATGAAGTCCATGTTGCGAACACTGTCATGAATCAGAGAGGGATTGGGATGACAGTGTACCACTAGTTATGTTTGCTGCCCGCGAAGCTGTACAGGAGTCCCTAGGTTTCAGTCCTGCTGAATTAATTTTTGGACATGAGGTTAGGGGCCCTTTGACAGTTCTTAAAGAACAACTAGTCGTACCCGAGCAGAAGGTCCGAAGTATTCCGGACTACGTCCACAAGCTCAAGGAGCGCCTCCAGCTAACTTGTTCTTTAGCTAGGGAGGCCCTGACCTCTTCCCAGGCAAGGATGAAGAGAAGATATGACCAGCGCGCAATCACACATTTGTTTAAGCCAGGTGATAAAGTTTTGATTCTTTTACCTATATCTGGTTCTGCTCTCTCCACTAAGTTCTCCGGTCCTTATGTAGTGGAGAAGAAGCTCAGTGACACAAATTATGTGGTTCAAACCCCGGACCGCAGGCGAAGAAATAGGGTGTGCCATGTGAACATGATGAAACGCTACCACCTCCGAGAAGTTCACCCAGGGTCATCAGAGGCCCAGGGGTCCACGACGGTGTCACCTGTTGCAGCTGTTTCCATGGTGAGCTCTCCTGTCGATGGTAATGAAGACGGGTTGGTGATGCGGAATGCTGCATCAATAGGGGCCAGACTAACTAATACTGAGGTATTGTCGCAACTGCCCCACAACTTGTCTCATCTCCCTGTTGACCAGAGGAATGACATTATGACACTTATTGGTAATTTTCCGTGCCTGTTCCGTGACACTCCCACCCAAACATCTGTCATAACGCATGACATTGTCTTAACCAGCCCTACGCCGATCAAACAACGCGCTTATCGGGTAAATCCAGTTAAGAGAGCGGCCATGAGAGAGGAGGTTGACTATCTTGTGCAGAATGGATTTGCAGTGCCAAGTTCCAGTCCATGGAGTTCCCCCTGTCTCTTGGATACAAAGTCTGATGGGAGTTATCGGTTCTGCACTGACTTTCGCAAGGTAAATGCCGTAACTGTCCCGGATGCACATCCATTACCACTGATTGACGACTGCATTGATGAAATTGGTCCTGCAACATATGTAACTAAACTTGACATGTTGAAGGGATACTGGCAAGTTCCTTTAACCCCACACGCTTCAGCAGTTTCAGCTTTTGTAACACCTGACTGTTTCCTCCAGTACACCGTCATGCCATTTGGTATGTGTAACGCTCCTGCTACTTTTCAAAGGCTGATAAATTCAGTCCTTGGGGATGTTCCACACTGTAGAGCGTATCTCGACGATATTGTCATCTATTCCAGTGAGTGGGGTGAGCACATGACTACCTTGAGAGAAGTATTCGGGCGTCTCCTAAACGCATCCCTTAGGCTCAATCTTGCCAAATGTGAGTTTGGAAAAGGAACTGTCCTCTATCTTGGTCAGCAGGTTGGTCGAGGACAGGTTTGTCCCGCAGATGCAAAGATCTCTGCGATTAGAGCGTTCCCCGAGCCAAAAACCCGGCGAGAGCTGCGTCGATTCCTTGGAATGTCGGGATATTATCGACGGTTTTGCAAAAACTTCTCCTCTGTAGCAGCTCCGTTGACCTCGTTAACCAGTCCAGCAAAACCCTTTGTATGGTCTAATGAGTGCAAACAATCTTTTGAGAGCCTAAAAGGAATAATGTGTTGCACTCCTGTGCTGAAGGCCCCGGATTTCATGTTGCCTTTCAAGTTGGAGGTTGATGCCAGCGCAGTTGGAGCTGGTGCAGTTCTTCTGCAGGAGGATGCCAACGGCATCGACCACCCTGTGAGTTATTTCTCACGGAAATTCAACAGGCATCAGCTTGGGTATTCAACAATAGAGAAGGAGGCTCTGGCCCTGTTGTTTGCTCTACAGCATTTTGAGGTTTATCTTGGGTCAAGTGAAAAGCCTGTTCAAGTATTCACCGATCATAACCCTCTTGTATTTCTTTCCAGGATGCATAACTACAACCAACGTCTGATGCGTTGGTCTCTCATTGTTCGGACTACAATCTTAACATCATGCATAAAAAGGGATCTGAAAATGTTCTTGCTGATGCCTTGTCTCGTGCGGTATAGTTATG